ATGTGTTTTCAATGATATGTTTTACTGCCATTGAAATCGTGAGTGCAAAATCATAATGCATTTGATTGAGAGGTATGGACAGACAGGAACGTGATCAGAGGAGAGCATGTATCTCATTCAGAGATACTTCCTGAGCATCTATGATGTATCTTCATCATGAAATGCTCTAGGCTTTGGGGATGCATTGGCCAAGATCCTCGTCCTCAGGGAGCCCACAGTGTGGTAGAGGGAGAAGATGTATAAACAGTTAAGTGTATAAATGCTAAAGTGCTCAAGGTACTAATGTAGAAAGATCCTCAGCCTTTGAGGGGAGGAAAAAAGGGGGAGTGATGAGTTCTATTTGGAGGGAGCAGAAAAGGCTTCTGTATTTGTCAGTACTCTTTGAGATGCAATTGACGGAAACACCACTCAAACTAGCTTAAGCAAAAGGGAGATTTATTAGTGGATGTAATTTAGGAAGCCCAGGGATGGTCTGGCTTCATGCTTAACTAAATCTGGGCCTCGATGTCATTAGGATCCTTTTTTTTGTCTCTCTTTCAGCTCTGCTTCTCTCTGCATGTTGACCTTTCTCCAACATGGATACATTTCTTCCATGTGGCTTGGAAAAATTGCCGCTCAGATTTACCCCATTTCTCCCAGCTTAACCTTAGTTGAGAGGGAGGTTTTCTCTTCCAGTATTCATTTGTCTGTCCCTAGAAATGTCTCTTATTGGTCATGTTGGGTCATTTAGCCACCCCCTGGACCAATTGCAATTGCAACAAAATAAGGTAGTGTGATTGGTCTAACCTGTGTCACACACAAGTCCCTGTGGCAAGGATGAGCCAGGCTATATGTGACTACCCATGACTGGCATTCCCATCAGCACCATTTACAGTGGTAGTAGGTGGGTTCTCCGAAGGCAGGCAGGCTGGGCAAATGGTCTAACTTCACTGATATTTAAGGTGTGTCGTTCAAGAGGAATGGTTTTTTGTCAGATGAAGCAGTGAGGGAAATCCATTATTGTTAGAGGAAGAAGTAAGAGCAAAACCAGGAAGGCATGAACCACCCTGGCAGATCAGAAAACTGCAAATCATTTGTTGAGGTTGGAGCTTACGGTTGGGGGATCATGACTTGAGATGAAGCTGCAAGATAGAGAGAGGCCGCATTGGCCATGCTAAGGGACTTGCTATTTGCACTGTAGGCAATGGGAAACATTCTGAGATTTTAGGCAAGGGTTGGAGATAGTCAGATTTCCATTTCAGAATATCACTCCAGGAGGAGTGCAGAGGGTGCCTTGCTCAGAGCCAAGACTCAGAGGAGGAAGACTAGTGGGGGAACCCCTGCAGTAATCCAGATGGAAACGGAGTGTAAACAGTTAAGTGCTACAGAATGCTAACAATACTAATGTAGAATAGTCTCCATGTGCAGGGGGGAGTTAAAGGAGGGAGTAGTAATAGAGATTATAGTGGGGAAGCAGAAGATGTGGAAGATGATAAGCAGAATCAATAGGACTTGGTCTTTCAAGAAAGTGAAGTGTCTAGGATAACTAAAATTTCTGACTTGAGTCATGTCATTTGCTGAGATGAGGAATACAGAAGGAACAGATGTGAGAGTCAGGAAGGAGGGATGGCCAAGATGATAACTGCAAGGGTTGAGTTTGAGGGACTGGATATGAACAGTTGGCAGTTGGAGATGGGAATCTGGAGCTCAAAAAAGATCTAGGCTGAAAATATAGACCTGCAAGTTATCAGCATGTAGGTTGTATAGTTGGTGAGAGGAAAGGAAATCATGGAGGCTAAATGTCTGGAGGAAGAAGAGGGCCCAAGAAGTAGTGGTTTAGAGGTCTAGGGAGCCAGGTGGGGAGCACAGCTCACACCTCAGCAGTCCAGGTGAGCAAGTGTCAGGATCCCAATGGTGTTGTGCTCCAGCATGCTGTCCCTTGACTCATGTCTAATTCTGTACAGAGCCTGATTGTACATCTTACCTCTTGTCCAGTTAGGAGTGATGTCAGATCCTAACCCCATCACTGTGGAAGGGACTCAACTAATGAAAGAATACTGTACCAGCCATAGATGCACAAAAGGTCCTTGTGATGGGGCCAAACCCAGGGTCTTCATCAGACAGAATGCAGATATGAACATGCTGATGCTGATGCCCCACTGCAGATGTTAACAACTGGTTGATTTCAAGCTCTAACCCAGTAAGGAGTTTCCTCAGGGAAAATATGAATACAGCACAAATGGGATGGCACTGCTTTCCCACTTTTCCCCTTTCCTGCACCTGCATTCTGGTCTGTGTGGTTCAAAGCCAAGACACCACCTTGCCTCGCCGCCTAGATCCTGTTAGTCCTGAGCCTCATCAGTTCTGGTTTTTGTATTTGTCCTTTTCTTTCTATTCTGATTGGAACAGCTCTAAGCTGGACGGGCTTGTTAGTTCATCCATCCCCACCACACCCCCGGGGTGAATGTAGCATCCTCCTAACACACTCAATGATCCTTCCATCTGAAGGTCATCAAACTATGACCATGAGCTAAATCTGGCCCACTACCTGTGTTTGTCAATAAAGGATTATAACACAGCCACACTCATTCATTTATATTTGTCTGAGGCTGTTTTTTTGCACTGTAATGGCAGCATTAAGTAGTTGCAACAGACACTGTGTGTCTCACAAAACCCAAAATGTTTACTATCTGAGCCTTTACAGGAAAAGTATCCTGACCCCTATTAATCCATCCTATACACCAGTGCCAGATTAATGTTCCTAAAATGCCATTTCACCATATCGTGCTCTCACTTAGAACCCTACAATGACATTACATTGTATAATAAAGTCCAAACTTCTTGGCTTGGCACTCAAGGCCCTCAGTGGTCTAGCCAACCTTTTGAATCTTTGATCTCTATTCCTAAAGGCGAGTTCTGCACCCCGGTTAGATTTCCCTTCTCATTGTCCCTGGAATACGCAGTATATTTTTCCCCTTGCTCACACAGTTCCCTTTGCCTGGAATGTGCTGCCCATTAATCTGTATCTACCTAATTTCTACCCATTCTCAAAGAACTAACTTAAAACCTGCGTCTTTCGTGATCATATCTGTTCACAGTGACCACCAATGAGTCTACTGTTCGAGCATGTGAGGGTTCACTGCCTGTACCATCTGGTAATATGGCTTCTGTCCAAGGCATGGTTCACTACTATGATGGTGGGCACTCTGGAGTGAGGACACAAACAGTCTGTAGCAAACACATAGCACTCAGTTAACATTGGTGGAAATATCCAATCCTCTGCATCTTGTATCCATGACATACTGTATCTTGGTCCTGGATTTAAATGTAGGACAACTACATTTCTTGATAGTCAGTGGGAATGAATGATAAAGTCCAGTAAACCTACTCTTGAGAAATCTTAGAATAGAGATAGTGGCTGGTTCTAGAGGTCCTTGCTTTATCGTGTGGTACCTCTGAGAGGCTGGATGGGGGGCTGTCCCCCTGAGTCTCACTTTTTCCATCTGCTGTCATATATTGTGTGTTCTTGGATGCACTCTGGGATTAAGCGGCAATGAGGCATCATTGATTGAAGTTCTTTGGTAAACGGTAAGTTCCTAAAATATTCTCAGGCCTTACTTTGGCAGAAATGTTATGTCCCTGACTTGGATATTATGTCCCAGTGGCTTGAGATTATAAGCTAATATTTCTTAAAAGTCTGTACATTGCATAGAAGAACTTGGTTATAGCACAAATTATTATTAGTTGATTTGAAAAGCAGTGGTGCCAGCGCATCCCCAGAAACATAGCACCTACATAAAATAAAAGCTTCTGTTAACACAGAGCACAACAGCCAGCCTCCTACATTATTGTTTTCTCCACGATTTGGCTGTTGTATTATAAAATGCCATCATGTCTTGTCTAACAAGTTTCTCCCTGCATATGTGAGTAAAGGAAAATAATCCAGCGCAGTAAATATCTCAGTACCACCCACTCCCCTATGTACCTTTTGGAAACAAAACACTGAACAAGTACGCTATCATAAGGGCAGGCCTTTCTCTTCTTAAATTAATCACATTTATGTGATGTTCGTTGTCTACATTTGAGAAGTATGGAGAAGAAAAGTATGAAGAGTGATGCCAATGGAAAAGTTATGCTGTGAATACAAGGCAGATATATCCTTTGAAAACCAGTTTTACTCCTAGAAGTAAACATGTGGCAATAAGAAAATAGCAAATAAAATTTATCGAGCATTTGCTACGTACCAGGCATTGTTCTAGGTCCTTTCCGTGTATCATCTCATTTAATCCATGCCCCAACCATATGGTTCAGGTATAATTATTATCTCCTCTTGATGCAAGAGAAGACTGAGACCCAGGGAGGTATAAGACCTTACCTGAGGCCACACAGGGAGCAAATGATAGAGCTCGGAGTTGGACCTGGGCAGACCGACTCCAGGCTTCATATTGACTGTGACCCAAGCGAGCCCCACCCACATATAGTGCCCTCCCAAAGGCCAATTTAAGAAAGATCACCTATCTAATTTGCATCGTTTGGCATGTCCAGCTGAATGATTTGTCTTGCAAAATTTACAATTACGTTGGGTTATTTGTGTACATGATTTTGATAAAAGAAATCTACCCTAGAACTTTCCACCATTTTATTCTATCATATTTGCAGTTTATCACAACCTCTGTCTTTTTGAGTGAGACATTTTTTATTCTTTGTCTCCAAATTAACACTGCACAGAACATGACTGTGTGTGTGTGTGTGTAGAAACCGCCTTTTCTCCTGGATTAAATTGTTGCAGCTTGGCTGAGTGAGGAGAATTTCTCCCACTCACCCAGCCCACAGCAGACATGTTAGGAGAACGCTGCTGCTCGCGACACAGCCTGAGACGGAGGGGCAGGTGACACGGCGTGTGTGCCCAGCATCTCTGGAAGTGTCTCTACAGATGTGCGTGGCTCCTGCTGCTTCCTGCCTTAAAATTCCTGGAGCCAACACCCACCCACTCTTACAGCCTCTCTCTCTTTATTTTCAAGGAAAAAAGAAAGAGACAGACGGAAATAGAAGGCAAGCGACAGGAGCTCGATGAGCAGATACTTCTGCTGCAGCATTCCAAGGTAAGTGCTGATCCCAGGGACCTCTTCCGTGATTAGACATGCAGATCACACTCCAGAGAGATGGGCAGAGCCTGCCCTGGCGTGAAGCCGCTGCCGCTGACTGAACCAGCCCTTTTTCATTCACTCAGGAAACCATCCCTTGGCTTTTCTTGTGAATTTCTCAAATTCGCAGCATTGTTACAGCATTCCGGTTTCTGCAAGCCAGATGAGATTGTAGTGTGCATGTGGATGGGTTTGGAGACTGGTGTGTACATGCGAAATGTGGTGGCTATATATAGAAATGGAATGGGAATTTCCATATGGTGGGTGAGGCAGTGAGCGGGGCTGTGTCCTCAGTGCATAGGTGCTGTGTACGTTCCTCTGGGGTTCCAATAGATACATTTAACATAATGTTCTTTTTTAAGTTAAAAATAGCACTGTTTTCTTTCTTGATCTGGAGAAAAGGGAGATAAAATAAAGAGCAACCCTGTGTATTTCAGATTACTCATTTGTTTAATTTCTACTTTAACAATTTTGAAAGTGTTCTATTAGAACAAGCAGTTGGTCAAAAGATGGCATTGAAATTATTTGACTTGCTTGAGTCTCCATTGCACCATGTGAGAGAGAGAGAGAGAGAAAGGGAGATGTTTATTTATTATTTTTCTTTGAAACATAGTGCACTTAAGCATCGTAATTGATTACAGCCCGGGAGAAAGCTCTGTCACTGTCACAAGGACTCCACTGCTTGCAGAATGTTGCTTTCTGCAGGCTCAGAGAATGATGTGACCACGCTCTGGTGGCCAGCCCGGAGTCGCTGCTTCCTTTTACTGCTTCTGGGCTTTTTCAGGAAAACCTTCACCTGCTCGCCTCAAGTTGCCGTGACATTGCACGGTCAGAATTGCGTTGCTCGAAGGGCTGGTTGGGAAGGTGGGGCTGACTTTCAGGGTGATGCTAGGTGTGGATTATTTGGATTTTTTAAAACAAGATGAACCTTTGTGGTTGCATTTCCCATTCCTTTCTAGAAGACAGGGTTGTGCTAAATGAATCCTCAAAATGAGAACCAGCAGCAGGCTGGCTACTGATTTCAAATAGCAGCAGGACCTAAATCTGCTTAGCATATTTATCAGTTTTCCATTAACTTTAACAAGAGCTATGTGTTTAGAAGGAAGAAAAACAGCATGCTAGCGAAAATATTGCCCTTTCTCCCTGCTCATCGTGTAAATCCTTTTATGGACTTTCCTATATGTAGGATCCTATATGTAGGATCTTGCAATATACCCCATCTGCTGTTTCTCTTTCCTTACAACATTCCTGAGGGAGGATTGAGGGCTAATATTAGTAGCTTCTTCTTACAGAGAGTAGGGCTTGAAAACACTTAATAGAACCAAGCAAATGTTCAAGGTCAATCTGGACAGATTTTGGTCTCTGGCTCAGAGTATAGTCAACTCACTCCTTATGAGAGACCAAAATGTACTAAAACCTCAGTGACTTCTTGATTAAAGGTGAACTTTTTTTTTTAAGGTATGTTTTTTGGTGAGGAAGATTGGCCTTGAACTAACATCTGTTGCCAATCTTCCTCTCTTTTTTTTTTTCCTCCCCAAAGCCCCCTGGTACATAGTTGTATATCCTAGTCGTAGGTCCTTCTAGTTCTTCTGTGAGGGATGCCACCTCAGCATGGCTTGATGAGCCATGCTAGGTCCTCACCCAGGATCCAAACTGGCGATCCCTGGACCACCGAAGCAGAGCATGCGAACTCAACCACTTGGCCACGGGGCCAGCCCCAAAGGTGAACTTTTCAATCAGAGGACTGAAAGAATGGGAGGCTGTTTTGGACTAGACAGCCTCTCTTCTCTGGAAGCTCAGTGTAGTTCTTTGCTTTTTCATTCCTTGAATCAAAAGTCAGGCAATAAACACATGTCAGAAGATCAAGTTTCTTCTTCCCACTTGTCGTCATTCTGGATGCCAAATAAGACACCAAGAACTCAATCATTGCTGATGTCCAGTACAGCGTTACAACATTCTTTTCAAGTTCCATCTATCTATTTTCATCCATCCATGTATCCATCCATCCATGCACCCATCCAATCAACAGAAACAACAGTGACAATGACTCAGTATTGCATGGGGAAGCCGTGAGATTTCTTCAAAGACTTGGAAACAAGGAAATCAGATAATTCTTTATGGTAATCATGGTAAAATTTCACACAGTTGATGAGATTGGTTATCTAAGAGAACAGCCAGCAGTTTCACCAAGGTAATCTTGCTGTAACCTGGGGAGGAAGGACTGGAAGTGATGGCAATTTAGTAAGTGGAGACCAGTGCATTGTAATTTTCTCTCTCTAGAGAAGGCCTGTGTAGACAGAATGAGAGTGGATCACTAGCTTTGAACAGTGAAGAAGGAAAGCTCAGAGGTCCCAAAGGTGGTTCACCTGGTATCGCCCTGGAGAGAGACCCCAGCTCTGGGAGGTACCAAGTTTCTGTGCTCTGGTGAGGTGGGTCTGCAGTAAGGCAAGGAGAGTCATCAGGCCTCACCTTGGCCCAGGTGAAACTTCCCTCACAACACTGCCTCTCTTTGTTCTGAGTCCATCCTCCCCAAAGTAATTGAGTTATTTTAATATAAGGAAGGCAGCGCCCGACTGAGAGAGAGGATCACTTCTGGCACCAAAGAGGATAATGTTCTACTTTACATCAGTTGACTGTTGACTGAACTTGAGTAGTGTGAGTCATCTTGCTTGTGATTGGCCAGTTTTGAGCTTGGCAGCCTCACCCCTGGATGGTAGTAAACTCACTGAGGTTATAGTTGTTCTGTGAGCCTCTTGGTGGAGACTCAGCCACCTTCCTTCTGGCAGCGTGGTAGCCTTGTCATCTTCTTGTCCACCCTTGATAATAGTCATCATTTTTTGGAGTGCGTAACATGTGGCCTGGTGGTTAAGATTAAGCACTCTCACTGCCACGGCCTGGGTTAATTTCTGGGTCAGGGAACCATACCAGCCGTCTGTCAGTTACCATATTGTGGCAGTGCATGTTGCTGTGATGCTGAAAGCTCTGCCACCTGTATTTCAAATACCAGCAGAGTCATCCATGGTGGACAGGTTTCAGCAGAGCTTCCAGACTAAGACAGACTAGGAAGGACCTGGCCACCCACTAGAAAAATTGGCCACAAAAACCCTGTGAATAGCAGCAGAGCATTGTCTGATACAGCACTGGGAAGTGAGAAGATGGCACAAAAAGACCAGGCAGGGTTCCGCTCTGCTGTCCACAGGGTCGCTAGGAGTTGGAATCAACTCCGTGGTGCTAACAACAAAAAGACTTTGAATGCATCCTTCAATAATGACCACAAAGTGGATATTACTCTCCCCATCATACAGGCAAGGAAACAAACTCATGAAGCAAAGTAACTGGCCCAAAAACTTAGAGACTGTAAGTGAGGGAGCCCAATTGAACCCCAGGGCTGTCTGCCTCCACAATTGTGCTTTCTCCCAGACACTGTTTTCTTCAAATGAAATGTTTTCTTTTGAGCAATTTGTTTAGAGAGATGTCGGTTACCGTCATCACTGTCTCTTTTACTCTAAGTGTATTTTCATGGACTCCAGAAAATTGAGATCATGTGGAGACAGGCCACAGTGATTATTGATAGTTCCTTGGAGTAGAAAATATTAAGAAATATGTCAGTAATTAATATTTATTTCACCATTTTACAAAAGCCCAGATGCTTTCTAAGGAAAAAGATACTTTTCTCGTGCAAAGTTAAACGGAAAAGCATTAGAATTAGATTTCATGTTTGTTAAGATGTGATTCTCATTATCAGTCTATGGACACATTCTTGTGCAATGAGACATGAATTATTTAGACAGATTCACTGGTCTCTTATCAAAGCAAATAAATAGAATGCAAGACAATAGTCCTGATACTTGTATATCTGATTAATATACTTGCTAATTGAAATATTTATGGCTATATAGTAACTCCACAAAATACAGTATTGTTTCTTTATATATGAACAATAAGCAAATTCTATAATGCAATGAAGGACCAAAGTATGAAATGTTAAAATATTAGCTGCTACACTCTAGTGGTTAGGAAACTTCTGGGTACTTTGAAGTCCTGGCCAAATTCAAGTCAGATCTCTTTTTACAAGAAACTTAGCTATGCTTAGTATCTTATCTTTTGTGATGTAAGAATTTCCAAGAAATGCTCACATCTGGGACCAGTGAGCAATTTTAATAGCTCTATTATTTTTGCTGATTATAAAAGGAAGGAATGTATGATCACTGCAAGAGTAAAATTTAAAAGTACAGGAAAATGCAAAGAAAAAAACGTATCGACAGTGTACTCACCACCCAGATATAACCTACACAGAGGTATATCCTTCTATACTTTTTCCCCGATATATTTTTGTAGATTAAGATACATAAATCTTGTTCACAGGTTTCATGAGCCTGTGAGTTAAATGAAATTATATTAACATTAGTATCCAGAATACATTCATCTTTACCTCTTTTTTGATTTTTGTATATGGGCTCTTTTAAACTCATACAGGAGCCGGCCCGGTGACACAGCAGTTAAGTTCGCACGTTCTGCTTTGACGGCCCGGTTTTGCTGGTTCGGATCCCGGGTGCGGACATGGCACCGCTTGGCACACCATGCTGTGGTAGGCATCCCACATATAAAGTAGAGGAAGATGGGCACGGATGTGAGCTCAGGGCCAGTCTTCCTCAGTGAAAAGGGGAGGATTGGCAGCAGTTAGCTCAGGGCTAATCTTCCTCAAAAATAAATAAATAAATAAATTCTCATACAGAACTTTATAATATTTGTGAAATCACATCTAACATTCTTTTCCTTTGTGATTTCTGACTTCCATGTCCTGTGAAACAACATCTCCATCTCAAACACTTATCTACGATGTTTCTTATACTTCAATAGTTTTAATCCATCTAGAATTTATTTTCCTATAAGGTATGAGGTAGGAATAACTTTACTTTTTAATGATGGTGAGCCAGTTGTCTCAACATGAATTATTG